ACACACTGAATCAGGCATCTTCTCTGGGGGAGACCTGAGGAGCTTTAGCAAGACAGTGTCAACCGTGAATCTCCCGTGGGACAGTTTGTCACTGAGGCCTTGTAGTTGACTCTAACACCCTTTCTGTCCAGGTGCATCATGGAACTACCTTTTTTTTTGTGCATGGGGAGGGGGTGTTTTTTGTTTTCTTCAGTGCAGGCACTGACAATGTAGCTCGCCATGTTCCAGACCCACACTGAGGCCGGCTGTGAAAGATCACATTTTTAGGGGCTGGAGAGATGGGTTAGTGGGTAAGAGCACTGGCTGCTCTTACTAGAGGACCAGCGCCTGCATGGCCGCTCACTACTGTCTGTAACTCCAGTTCTAGGGGATGCGACACACTCACACAGATACCCCCATGTAGGCCAAACACTAACGCACATAAAATAAAAATAAATATCTTTTTTTAAAGTTATGTTTCTAGACTCTGGGTGCAGCTTCATTCATTTAGCATGCCTGAAATCCTGCGTGGTTAAAGATTGGGGGGAGGGGAAGGCTCCCACTTCACTGGACGCTATCTTGGGCCTACCTTTGCCATCAGCCTGTGGGTGTGTGTAGGGGTTTGCAGGATCCTACCTCTGGCTGAACCTGCACACGTATATTTTCGTGTGATGCACGAGAAGCTTTGAACAGGGAAGACATGTGTGTGAGTGTGCATGCATGTTTTTAAAGACAAGGTCTAGCTATGTAACCCATGCTGGGCTTAAACTCTCTGCGTTCCTGCTTCAACATTCTGAGTGCTAGGATTATAGACAGTGCAAAATGGCGCCTGGCTGAGAAACCCTCTCCTACGACAGATCCCTTCTCTCAGACCAGAATGTGAGTTTTCACACTGGACTTTATACAGGAAACAAACTCATTTGCAAAGCCATACCACAAGCAGGAGGGATTGGGCGGTTTACTGTCTTGCCAAAGCCCGAGTAGGTGTAATTCTGGGTGTGAACAAACGCTCTGCAGGGGGAGGAAGTGCCTCGCCTCCCTCAAGCACCTACTGTGTGTCAGTGTCACCAGGGCACATTGTCCTCCTTCTCCCTTTGCTTTCGCCAGGCACTGGACACAGCTTTGGTTCTGTGACTTTGTAAATAAACTGGAATTTGGAGCGATAAACCACTCACTCAAGCAAGCAAATGACCAGCCGACGCAGAATTGTTCCTGGGTCTCTCTCCCTGACACTGGAGACTGTTTCTTGGGTTTTGGCTTTTGGTTTTTTGTCTTGTTGTTGTTGTTGTTGTTTTTCAAGATGGGATTTCTCTGTAGCTTTGGAACCTGTCTTAGAACTAGCTCTTGTAGACCAGGCTGGTCTCAAACTCACAGAGATCCACCTGTTTCTGCCTCCCAGGTGCTGGGATTAAAGGCATGTGCCACCGCCGCCTGGCGAAGACTGTTTTTTTGTTTTGTTTTTTAACTCTGCACCACACCCTTAGGTTCTTGCAGCTTTGAATTTATTCTGAGGTCTCTGCCGCCATGGTCCCAGAAAGCAGCAGCACCGGATAGGGACCTCGGGTTTGTGTCTTAAGCTCTCTCCAAAATGAGCTCTGCTCTTCCCAGGACTGCCTTGTTCAGAAAGCTTCCGGATCCCCATGAAGGAAGCTCTCCCAGCCCCCCCATCCAAAGACTCAACCCTTTCGCTGCCTTAGTACTCTGGGCTCTTTTGAGAAGAGCCACTATCCTGAGCTCCAAGGACTGGGGACTCTGTGGGATACCTCTGTCAGTTGGCACAGGGCTGGCCCAGGGGACTGCTGTTGTCTGGTGCCTGTTCAAGAACAGAGGAGACCCAGGATGAGCCCGTGTGTTTCCTGCCCCTGTAGGAGCCGAGAGATCTTGGAGAAGTCTGGCATATGCTGACAAGATGGAAAATGTGTTACTTGACATCTCCAGCACGGCACAGGAAACCTGGAGAGTCAGCGAAGGTAGAAACTGTCCCCCAAAGTTTAGAGTTAGAATAGGAGGAGACAGAAGGTGTCTGGGGACAAATTTCTGGGCCTCTACCCCTTAGAGTCTGAAGCAAGAATCACGAAGGCCAACATGTGCACACAAATACAGCTGGCCTGAGGCAGGAGGGGACAAGGGCGAAGGCCAGGACATCCTGTCCTGACACTTGGCAGGACAGGAACGGTGACTTTCCGGATGGAAGCTCAGAAGTTCTTGCCCTGAACCCACTCTACCCCCTCTGGGATATAAATAACCCTTCCTCTGCCCTTCTCCCATCATCCTCATTCACCACCAACTTCCCCAGGGAAGACACTTCCATCCTGGATAAACCTCCCTCACATATCCATCCACGTCCTTTTCCCTGGAGACGACTCCGACTTGCGGGATGCCGGTAACGAAGGCTCAAGTCAATTCTCATTGGGATGCCATGGGTGACTCTTTAGGGAGTTTCTGCCACTCGGGTCTGCCCCACAGATCAGAGGATTGACTCCTAGGGCCTGCACTCAAGAAGGTCCATCTCATCGCCCTGTCTACCAGAGGAATAGGAGGATCCCAGCCCCAGCCATCCCTCTCTCACTAGGTCCTGCGCTACCACTGTCCAGCTTGAGGGAGTATGGGTGAAGTAGACGCATGGCCACCTTTGGACCTCAGAAACCTTGTCCTGTGAGGACGAGGAACTGGACGGCTAATGGCTGGTGGCCACCGCAATACTTGACATCGTACGCTGGCTCTCTAAGGAGTATACTCCTAGTGAGGTGAGCAATGATGGCCAACAGACCAGCAGAGGCAAGATCCACCCACCTAGCCAGCCTCTAGCAAGATGTCTCTGAAAGGCCGCATTCCAGCTATGGAGCCAGACCCTCCACACAGAGGCGATCCTCTACTGTCCAGGTCTACCGTAGCCCCTGCCTGTCATTCCCAATGCCCCTTACCTGCCCAGCCTGGGAGCCTTCTGGCCCGTTCACATGATGCTCCTGGCCTGGCCTGGCTGCCTGGACCCAGTCTCAGCTCCCCTTGCCTTCGCAGTCACCACCTGTCTCCTCGCGCCCACGTTCCACCCTGACTTCCTGCCTCCTTCTGAGGGCTCAGCAGCCAACCCAGCCCCAGCAACTCAACCACAAGCCTCTAGCACCCCAAGCTTCCTGCCGCCATAGCCCTAGACCCTGCAGCCTCTTGGGGTCTCAGACATCACTAGGCTAGCCCCCTCTCATACTGAGAGTGGCTCCTAGATGGGAGACGGTTGAACCGAGGTCCATGTGTGATTGCAAGGCTCTATAATCCCAGCACTCTGGAGGTGGGGGCGGGAGTGGTTGCATAGAGTATTTCAGGCCAGCCTGAATCACAAAAGTCCTTGTCTCAAAAAGCCAGTAATAATAATAATAAACCAAATAATAATAAACCAAGGAGGGGAGTTTTTTTTTTTTTTTTAAATGCAGGGTCTCACTGTGTAACCCTGATTGGCCTGGAACTTATTAGGTAGACCAAACTAGTGTGGCCTTGAATTCACAGAGCTCTGCCTGTGTCTACTTCCCCCGTGCAAAGGAGTAGGCCATTATACCTGGCAAGCAAGGATGTTTGATGGAGTCTCCCCTCCCCTGCCCTCCTGCACCCCAAGATACACCTGGGTAAGAGAGATCCAAAAGGCGCCTTTGTCCCCATGAACAGAGGACGACAGCCACGAGGGAAAGGGTGCTACAGCCACACCGGATGAGAGCTAGTGCCTTTAGCTTAGTGGCCTCTAATCCATTCAGACAGCAGAAGGCATCTCTGGTCAGACCTGAAGCCCAGGCAACAGCTCTGTTCAGTAGTTGGTGACAGGTTGCATATAGTACAGTAAAAAAACAGCAACCACGGTCACTGACAGAGCGGCATCCATGTCATCTTGGGACACAGGACAACCGTGTGTTAGAGTCACGGGGCAGGCCTCTTCCAGTCAAGTGTCGACAGCCTGTTTCAGGAGGGATACAGGAGAACCCCAGGTCCTTAAGACTACAGTGACAGGCTAGGACAGCCTGTTTCAGGAGGGATACAGGAGAACCCCAGGCCCTTAAGACTACAGTGACAGGCTAGGGCGTGGAGGCACACAGCTTAATCCCAGCATTTGAGAGGCACAGGCAGGCAGATCTCTGTGAGTTCCAGGCCAGGCTGGTGAGTTCCAAGATAACCAGGGCTCCATAAAGAAACCCTGTCTCAATATCTAACTAGATAAATAGATAGATAGATAGATAGATAGATAGATAGATAGATAGATAGATAGAAGATTAATTGAAGAATATAGTAAGAGGCATAGGCCAACATGGCTGAAGATGATAATTCTAGTAGAGGCAAGGCCACACCCCTAATGGGAGGCACAGCTTGCCACAGGTAGAAGGGCAGGCATCTTGCCCAGGCAGCTGGGGCAGGCAGCAGACATTCTGATATCAGCAGGAGGCAAAGAGCATTGCAGTGAGCACCAGGCAGGTCAAACTGAGGATGGTGCCCATCACAGGCAGAGGAGCCAGGCCATCGGTGACTTGAGGAACCCCGAAGGGCCCCTCTCAGGCCCAAGAATGGGTCCTGACCTCACTGGAAGGAAAGTGTAAATGTGTCACGTCCTGAGCCACGCTGAGTGAGCAGGTGGGGGAGGGGAGCCCACAGAGTATTGTTGGGGTTTGCGAGCTGGAAGCTGAAGCTGTATGTACCTCCGCTGCAGAGGGAAGGGGGGAACAGGAAATGGGGGGGGGGGAGGAAGCCTGAGTTGGAAAGTCAGACAAAGAGAGTAACACAGAAACAAAGACTGAGAGACACAGGAAAAAAAAAAAAAGGTTTTGAGTGACAGAGGCGACAGCTGTGTCTTCCAGACCTGATGCAGGACCAGCTACCCTGACTGGGGAATGGTAGCAAGGGTGGCCAAAGCAAGACATATCTAGCTGCCTGCGGGGTAAGAAGAATTAGCAGCTTATTATTTCCGTTTGTTTTTGGATTTTTGTTGTCTCATAAAAAAAGCAAAACAGAAAACAAATAAACAAACAAAAATCCAAAAAGTCAGTGAAGGACTGCAGAAGCTTTGATGGTATGCAGTGGGTTTTTATTAAGACATCTGGGGCCTGAGCTTCCTCTCTTTTCCTCACCCTGGGGCTTTGTGCTCTCTGAATTCAACTTTCAGAAACCTAAGTGTGCCCTCTCCCCCAGCAGATGCCGGAGCCACAGGGCCACCTCTTCCTTCCTTCTTCCCAGATAGACACCCAAGGGTCCTCAACAGAGGGTGAAGCGCCTGGCAGTGATGTTCATGCGCGTGAGTCCCAGGTGCCGCAGTGGTGGGGCCAGAGCCAGGCCAATCCCAGACTCGAGCTCCAGCTCCAGCTCCGCCTCATCCAGCAGCTCCTGGTGCAGGTGACAGGCTTGGTCCACTTTCAGTCGGTGCAGCTGGGCCCGCAGCTTCAGCAGCTGCCCCGCCAGCTGTCGATCCTGAGCACGCATCTCCTGCTGTGACCGAAAGGGGGCGTGAGCGTGCTGGGCCAACCTCCAGCCTCACCCGCCACCGTTTGCTTCCTTTCTGTGAACACTTTAGCACAGAACAACTCCAAAGCCCCTTCTCACCTACTTTCGTCTTTCCCCAGCTCTCAGAGCTTGTTCCGGATTGGTGGTCCCCAAAGCAAGCCACGGAACCATAAAAGAATGCAAATACAGCTGTCTGGTACGTCATCACAGATCAACTAAGAGGACTCACTGAGCTGCACTGGACAACCTTATATGTTTGCATATGTTGGGTTGACAGCTGATATTTAACTCTCCCCTCCTAAGAGTCTACCAACAGCCCAGTCAGGGTCGACTTTCTCCTTGGCTGTCTCTTTATGGCAGCTGTTCTCAACCTTCTTAATGCTGAGACCCTTTAGAGTTGTGGTGACCCCAACCATAAAATTATTTTCGTTGCTACTTCAGAACTGTAACTTTGCTGCTGTTATGAATCTAATATAAATATCTGGTATGCAAGATATCTGATATGCAACCCGCGAAAGGGTCATTTGACCCCCACAAATAGGGATCGCGACCCACAGGTTGAGAACCTTTGCTCTGGGGTCTGTTAATCCAGGGTTGGCTCCACAAAGATATGATTGAATTCCTGGCTCCTCTGTCCGAGGGCACAGCAGCGAGGACTTGCTTTGGAGAGTGGTCCTTTCTCACCTCCTCCCAACCCCACAGAGGACTGGCATAGAGACCCTGTGCCAATCTGTCTAGCCCAATGGACTCACCAGCTCGCTTCTGAGCCACTCAAGCGCAGAATCCATGGAGTCGAAGCCACAGATGGCTCCAGGTCTTTCTGGCTCGGGTCTGGCTTGGGCTCTGCACCAGGCCCGGCTCTGGACTCTGGCAGTCCACTCCAGATATGAGGGTCTTCGGGTCTGGAGCTGAAGCTTGGCTGTCAGTGCCTTCACGGAATCTAAGCTCTCCTCCTCATCCTCCTCATCCTCCCCCACTGCCTGGAACTTCAGTGGTTCCAGGGACATGGTAGGTCTAGGGTCGTCAATGGGGCAGCGAAGGAAAGGCTTTAGGAGAGGCAGAAGAGGCTGAGGGTGAGAAAGTGTGCCAGGTGTGTGCGGTGACGAGTGCAGATGGTGGGTGAGCAAGGCTAAGTGTGCCAGGGTGAGTGAGCAGATGGGTGTGTGAAGCTAAGTGTGCAAGAGATGGAATTTTCCTGGTCTGCTAACTGGGGGCCACGTGATGCCCATCCGGCTGGGGGCAGGAGGAGCCCTGTGGATGAATTTTATTGTCTTTGCCCAGAATCAGGTTCTTGGTTCCCAGAAAGGAAGCTGCATCAGGATAAGAAAAGCATCATCCACAGCCGACTTGGCCCTCCTCCCAAGACCCGAGTCAAGGAAGTCAAGAGGGAAGGCTGGCTAGCTCCCTGTCCCCTTTGCGGTGATAGCTCTTCAGGCAAGGGAATGAGATCCGGCTGCCTAGGAGTTGTTGGGAGTGCTGGACTCTGCTGTTACTTTGCTGGGATTTCGGGTAGCTCGCTGGCTTCTCTGAGTCTCTGTTGAGACAGGTTCTGTGATTCCAAGCTTCACTCTAAGGAGCCCTAGGTTCTTTTGGCAATCACCGAAAAGCTTCCGGCAGCTGAAGGAGCTACCCATAGCTGAAGGGCAGTGTGTAGCTCTACTTCTAACCCTCGCATTCACAGGGTTGGCTTCAATTGCTCTCTCTCTTTCTTATCTCAAATGTAACCATGGCTAGCCTAGAACCCACTATATAGACCAGGCTGACCTTCAAATCAAAACTTTGCCTGCTTCTGCCTCCCAAGTGCTGGGACCAAGGTTGGGCCACCACCGGCTGCTGCCGCAGGGCTTCTCAGTTTCCGTGAAGTCTCTCTATTTCCCATCAATGAGAGCAGGACTGGGGTTCGGCTCGGTGAAAGCCTTCCTGGGTGCTCAAGGCTCCGGGTTTTGCCCCAGCAATTAGAGAGAGGGAAGGAGGAAGGAGGGGAAGGGAAACGGAGGAAGAGAGAAGAAAACAGGGAAGAGCGGAGAGAAATGGAAGTGGTGTCAGGCACGGTGCGAGGCGAGCATAAGTGGATTTTGCCAGTTTGTGTGTTCTCTGGTCCTCCTGTATATTCTTACGGGAGGACAAAAACCAACCGACCGAAAACATAAAAGGAAACGCGTGTAGAGGTCATGCCCGGACTCCCAGCACTTGGCAGGTAAAGTCAGAAGTTCATTCTCAGCTAATTGGTGAATTTGAAGTCAGCCTGGAATACACGAGATCATTACTCAAAAACAAAACAAAGCAAGGAGACTAGGAGTCAGGAGGTGGTGGCGCCTGCCTTTAATCCCAGCACTCAGGAGGCAGATGCAGGCGGGTTTCTGTGAGTTCAAGGCCAACCTGGTCTACAGAGCTAGTTCCAGGACAGGCCCCAAAGGTACACATAGAAACCCTGTCTTGAATAACCAAAAAGAAAAAAAGAAAGAAAAGAGAGAGACGGGGAAGAGAAAGAGGGGGGAGAGATAAAAAGAAAAAGTGTACATATTTAAATATCATATGTAATTTGGAGCCAGGCAGTGGTGGTGCACATCTTTAATCCCAGCACTCTGGAGACAGAGGCAGGCAGATCTCTGTGAGTTTGAGGCCAGCCTGGTCTACAGAGTTACAAGAAGCCAGGGCTACACAGAGAAACGCTGTCTTGAAAAAAAAAATTAAAATAAATAAATATGGAACTTGGTAAATTCTCCCAACTAAGCAATGCAGCAGCACCTAGGTCAAATGATGCTGGTCACACTGGGACCTTCCTGCTTGGCGTCGCTCACATTCCTCTCCAAGGGATAAAATTTCTGTTTCCAAATGAACACACACACACTTTTTTGTTTTGGGTTTTCGTTTTGTTTTTTTGGTTTTTTTTGGTTTGTTTGTTTGTTTTTTGAGACAGGGTTTCTATTTGTACTCCTGGCTGTCCTGGAACTCACTCTATAGTCCAGGCTGACCCCAAACTCGCGGATATCCGCCTGTCTCTGCCTCCTGAGTGTTAGGATTAAAGTCACCCGGCTAGTATATATAACTTTTGCGTTTGTAATTCTTTTCTTTTTATTAAGCAGGATCTCAGCATAAGCTGACCTGGAACTGGCTCTGTAGCACAAACTGACTTCAAACTCACAGGGATCCTCCTGCCTCTGCCTCTGAATACTAGAATTTCATTAGTGAACTGCCACGCCCACTTCTGTGTCTTCCCCCACCCACCCAGTTGCTGCGCAAATGCAGAGGATGCTCCTGCTCGCGAAGGCTGTACTGAACAGTGCCCAGCCCCACTCTCATTGCTGACGACAGGAATGGATTTTGCCATTTTGTATACTTTCCAGTGCCCCTCCAGCTCTGGCGCGTCAGAATCACCTGGGGGAAAATCGTGTGCTAAAACAGGCGGCTTCCCCTTCCCCGGTTTCAGATTCGGTCTGAGTGTGTGGGGCGGGGCTAATCTGCACGTCTATCAAAGCCCCAGCCTTGAAGCTTTCGCTGTTCTGGAATTTCATAACTTGGTTCTGTTTTGGGTTTTGGTTTCCACAGGGTCTCTGTGTGCAGCCAAGGCTGGCCTCAAGCTCTGGAAGCTTCCGAAGTGTTGGCCATGCCGGTGTGAGACAACACACCCAGCTGCTCTGGACCGTTTCACGTTTGGCTGCTTTCAGAGAGAGAGACTCCAGCTTTGTGTTTATAGTCCAGAGTGAGCACCTGAGCCCGGAGCCGACACCCCGGCCCTCCTGTTACTTTCTCTGATGTTCTTCCCTGCCCCCATTTACTCTTCTTTTTCCTTCTCACAGGCCCCTTTCCACTGCCACAGCCTATATATGTGTGTGAGTGTAAAGTTAGATCCCAGAGAAAACAGCATTTGTGTCATTGTGGTCCATTCCACTTAACAGAACGATCTCCAGTTCCGTCCATTTTGCTGAAAACATTGTAACTTCGTTCTCCTTACGACTAAATGAAATCCCTCTATGTGTATTTGCTGTGCTTTCTTCTGCGGCTTGTCTGTAGATGAACCTCCAGGGTGTTTCCATACCTTGAGCACACTCACAAACGCAACACTGAACATCGTATAAAGCGAGGACGTGGCCGCTCCAAGGTGAGGGAAAGAAAGGTGGTTAGTGTGGACACCAGGGAGAGAACAGCCAGAGGCATCTGGAAGAATCCAGAGCAGGGAGAGGAAATAGTGAACTGACCATGGCCGGCAGAATGGACTGGGCCATGATGGGGAAGGGGAGAAGAGAGAGGAGGACCAAGGGAGTAAGTCACTGAATGGCAGGGTTATGTAGGAATGAGAAGCTGGATGAAGGGAACCCATGAACTGGGGAAGTTTAAGGGAAGACGTTGAGGTGAGAAAGTCAAGGGGAGCCATGATGTGAGCATGGACTCTGTAACAGGTACTGTCATTGTCTGTGCCTACAGAGCCTGGGGCCAGCCTGCATTTTGGCATTTTGGCATGCTAATAGGTATCACGGTTAGTTTTTTTTTTTTTTTTTTTTTGTGTTTTCGAGACAGGGCTTCTCTGTGGCTTTGGAGCCTGTCCTGGAACTAGCTCTCCTAGACCAGGCTGGCCTTGAACTCACAGAGATTCACCTGCCTCTGCCTCCCCAGTGCTGGGATTAAAGGTGTGCGCCACCACTGCCCAGCTAGTTAGCCATTTCTTTTGGCCCTGACAATTATGTGTGTTGTGTGATGGGGGTTAGGCATGGAAGTGCAGATGTCTCCCTGATCTGCTGACTTAGAAACCCAGGAAGTCACTGGGTGATGGTGGTACCTGCCTTTAATCCTAGCACTTGGGAGGCAGAGGTGGGCAGATTTGTTGGATGGTTTTATAAGTTCCATTATTATTTTTTAAAGATTTATTTGGTTGTTTTTTTGCTTATTTATTTATCTATTATATATACAGTGTTCTGGCTTGTATACATGCCACAAGAGGGCACTAAATCGCATTACAGATGTTTGTGAGCCACCACGTGGTTGCTTGGAATTGAACTCGGGACCTCTGGAAGAGCCAGTCCCTTGTGTATTTTACCATTATCCTTGTTATCTAGACTTAGCATCACAAAGATATCAGTAAGAATTTTAAAAGTATTGAGAGAGAGATAGAAAAAGGGATGGTTCAGTGGCTCAGAGCACCTGTCACTTTTGCACAGGACCCAGGTTCAATTCCCAGCACCCACCTGGTGGCTCACAACCTCATAACTCCAGTTCCAGGGGATCCATTGCCCCTCTGTGGTCACCAGGCACACACGTGGTGCCCAGACACACATTCCGGCGAAACACTCATGAACATAAAATAAATATAAAAAATATTAAAAGTAGGTGCATGGATGAATGGTTGAATGAGTCCTCTAGCAAATCAGTTGAGTTTCCTATCGTAGTTACCAACTGAAGCATGTCTTCTTGCTAGACCGAGCACAGGGTCCTTCCTCTTGGGTCCCTCTATCAGAAACATAACTCAGCTCATGGTGTGGACAATTCACACTTAATGAAAAAGGCAGAGTCAAGGGCTGGAGTTCTTCAGGACCCACACAGCCAGAATTGGTTTCTGGAGGTGGTCAAAGGGCATAACTTCAGGAGGGACGCCAGCTACAACCGCTGTTTGCTTTTAAGGTGGACAGAGGGATTTTCCTCTACCCAAGCTTCAAATGTGTGGGAGAAGAAGGCAGGTCCCAGTCAACACACCCACACTTTCCAGTCCATCTACCAGAGTACAGGGGAACAAATGTTTTTTCTTTCTTTCTTTCTTTCTTTTTAAGTCATCAAGGGTACCAGCACCGCAGGACTTAAAAAAAGAAAAATCAAGAACCTCTGGAAACAAGTGCAGAGCGTAGACAAACTTTCATCACTATTTCGTCGATCAGGAAGCTTAGATTTCCTTAACGAACACTGGATGGCAGTTCTAAGAGAACCCGGGCCTAGGAGAAAATGCCAGTGGAACTGTGTAGTCATGCCAGTGGAACTGTGTAGTCCCTTCCCGGAAGGGCTTTTGTCATTGTCTCCAGCTGCCCAGCCTGTCCTTACCAGAATCTGTGGGGCTGGGACCCAGGGTCGAGCTTGCAAAATGGGAGGTGATCTGAACATTGCTGAGCCCAATCAAACTCCGAGCTCCGTGATACCATCTGTGGCTGCCTGTGCTGCTGATGTCGATTCATCCCACCGAGAAACAGTGAGCAAAGGCAGGGGCATGCCCCAGATTGAAACCTGAGAGAAGACAG